ATGTAATTTATTATTAAATTAGATTAGTGATTAGTTGCAATTTATCAAGTAAAGCTCATATTCATCAAATGCAAATATTCAATTCAGTTTGAGTTGAACATTTGCATTTGTTTTTGCGATTGTGATACAAGCAAGAAACAGGTTAGTTGATATATGTCTGTAACCGTTATGATCATTACTCTTCTCAAAATATTGAAATTGTATATTTACACTCATCTAGCGTACAGTCACCACATTCTAGATGCTTTTTTGGGTTTATTAGTTCATAGTTAACCTTAGAAATATATCTCGGAATACTCGTTCAAGCTTCTTGAAGAAGCTTCTACAGATGATCTTCTAGCTAGAGCTGAAGAAAGGGATCACTTTTTTTCTAAGGAAAGGAGTCAGGTTATCATTGGATAAGATCAGATAAATCTAGCAAAATTTGACTGGAAGATCGACTCAAATAAATAAAATGTAATAAATGTTGTAAATGTTGTAAATAAAAGAGAAATATGGAAGCCAGTATATGCTTCTGAAGAATCGTCTCGTAGCTTTGTCCAATGATATTAACATTATATAAAGAAAACTAATTGATACCGAAATGCACGAAACATACCTACACTTTTATAATGACTTGAAGTTTTGTTTCTTTAGCCAGTTTTAGACGGACGAGTCTTCGAATTGTCCATCTGACATTTTTGTATAAGATTAAGAAGGACGACTTGGCAAGCCAAATTTCTCTCTCTGCTACTGAGCGTCTGTCCAGCATAGATTGTATCTGGCCTGTGCAAATCATCTTTTTTTTCACAAAATTGCCTAATAAGAGCTTTCGCTTAGTTTTTTTTTTTTTTTTTTTTTTTTAATGAAATCTTGCCATTTCGCCTATTGTCAACAGTTCGTTCAGGAACAAGTGAATCTTCCTGTCTCCCTTTTGATGCTACTTTGAACAAAACAAATCGGGCGTTTCCTAAGAAAGTGACACGAATTCCAGGTTCCTCTGCAGTACTTATCTACTGCGTATAAGCAAGATGGAACCGATTTCTTCGTTTTGTCTGGAGAAAATCTTTCAGAGCAAACTCGATAAAACTAATTTAGCTTGACTAACCTCGTTAAAGTTCATCAGCCATTTGCCAGAGAATTTGTCTTCAGAAACTATTTCACTGTTGCATCTTTTCTTCCTGTTTACTATCCACGCTGAATCAGCTTTACATATTGTTTTTAACTCCTATGATCCGAAGTGCGTATGAAATTATTACTATTAGGAAGGTAAATACGAGTATAAGCTCACTGGTCAAAACAGGCATTGTAGGACATTTTAAGCTCTCCCTTTTTAAGTAACGTAAAGTAATAAAAAATTTTATGTCCAGCTAAACATATTTGTTTAATGAGGACAGCTTGAAAATTAATTTGTTCAAAATTTTGGAAAAAGATATGTAATTTTTTTGATGATATGTTCAAGGCACTTGTTGCAGGGATTTGTTTGGATTTTTGTTGTAAATTATGACTTAAGTTGCAGCATCTTGTTTACTGAACGGGGCTCTTCACAGACGCAAATGCGAATCTGCTTTCTTTACTGGGTATAAGAAGTATATTTGAGCTGTGTGATCATTTATTACTACGTAAAAGTACCTTTGATCTGGATTTTCACTTTCACCTATTTGCAATATAAACGTTTTGCACTTAAGGAAATATATATAGAAAAAGAGATGATTTTATACTAGAGACATAAATCAATATTAAGCGTTTTTTACGAATTTTAAATGCTATATTATGAATTAAAATTATTGCAAAATTCTCTTAAATAAGCTTCGTATGCAAGATTTGACTGGAAAAATCTCAAATAATAATAAAAAAGTGAAATACTTAGAATCATTAGGATATTCTGAAGCAGACGACATGAAAAGTGAGCAATGCCCTCGCCTGGACCTCTCGAATACACGTCGAGTGTGCTACCGCTACACCATGAAGACATGCAGAAAGTAGAAAGAAAATGCCTTATAACACAATAAGAAGAACCCTAAGAAGAAAATGATATAAATAATTATGTGGTTTCGCGGGATCAAATGCAAATCTTTTTTTATGACTTGGAAACAAATTCTAGTAGTTTAACTATTACCTTTATTCTCTTAATTTAGAAACATATCTTGTAGCGGATTTTCACGCACAGACACGATCATTCGATAGAAGACAAAAGATTACAAATGAACCATTTAATGTATTCATCGTACGATATGCAACTTGCCTACGCAAAGAAGTCATTTATCTGCCGATAAACTGTTAAAGAAAAAATAGCTTTTACTTTAAAGAAGAGATCATTGATTTTCATGCGTATTTTTTCTTTGAAATATATTAATTTATTCCCTTTTAAAACCTGAATTGCTTTTGAAATATTATGATTTAAGTAAAATTACTTATTTGTAGTTATATCATACATGTTATACGGTGCTTCTCCCACCTTCTTAGCATGCCTTGGTGAGAACTAATTAATTAATATGATCACTCTACAGAACCATAGGCAGTATATTTCGTATAATGTAAATTAAAATACCCAAACCCGTAGAGGGGTCAATTTAAGCGCAGTAAAAATGAATATGTTTTATTAGATTCGCCAGTTTTGGGTCCAATTCTGGTCTTATAGGACCAAATGCCAAAGCATATGGCATCAAATGTTGGGGAAATAACAGTAACTAGTTTGCTGTTTCTTCATATTTTAGTTTTGTTGTCATCTAAGTTAACCAGTGAATATTTTAACTAACATTTTGTTCAGATTTCTTAAACAGCGTCAGTTTGTAATTACAATTGTAAATGCGCTTTCAAAAATTCCATTCCCTTTTTCCTTGTCTTGATCTGCATAAAATTCTGAGGATAAATCTTTCAAGTGCAAAGATGATTCATCTTCACAATGCAAAATAAAAATTATGAAGTGGCGAAAGAAAATAAAAACAAACTCTACATATTAATAAAACATCATTTTGCCTCTCATATTTATGAAAGGAATCCCACGTTTTTATCCATACGGTATCAAAGAAATTGGACTTCACCCAGAACAAAGCAATGCTCACCACAATAAAGCAGTGAACTAGAATAAAACCAGAACATGTCAACACCTACAATTAAATTTATAGAAAAAGTTAAAAGTGAAAAAGAGGAAAAACTGGTTTCGATGTGTTGGGAAATTTACATTCCTCCTTTGCGACTGCACTGAGCCGAAAAAGGTAAAGTATATAATTCCGCGGTAGAATCCACAATCTATGTAGGTGAAGATTATGTGTCCTTCCGATGTAGGTGAAACATGTGTGTCCTTTCGGTGTGCCTTACTGACGCGGCCAACTACCGTGAGTCATGCCAGAATGGTGTGGCGATTTCAAGGCGTGGAATAGATCTGTGGAAGACTAGACTGTAGCAACAGGAATCTAACACAATATTCCAGATAATTTACTACGCCGCCAAGTACTTGCCTAACTAAATGAACTGTTAAGTAGACTGAACTCGTGTTGTACCAGTCAAGTACATTCATCTGTTATTCATCATATAGTTTTACTAACGTGTCATAGTCTGACATAGGCTCATTTGTTTTGTTAAACTCAATGAAAGCACCCATTAAATCTTAAGTTTTCAATGTTCAGTAAGTGTACTTACTCCTTTGATAGATAACCAAGTTTTGTTTATACTGCGTATCACTCTCAAGAATCCTAAAATCAAAACAACGATACGTGGAAATATCTTCAACATGGATAGAAGTCGCAGGACAGTAACAATTGCATCCCGGCCTTGATGCTGGGCAGCGAAATGCATAACTATTTTTATTGTTTTCCCAAGCTCAGTAGACAGACGTGGTTATGATCTTTCAAGTTCAAACCTCTCTGTTTCCGACGCTTGAGACAGTGATGTAGCTCATCTATCTGCTCAGACGTACAAGTCAAGGACTTCGACGTCACTACTGATTGACCTTGGTCGAGAAGAGGAAATCTTCTAGAGAAGTAATTTGGGTTTCTTTCTTTGCGTGATGAAAATTCGAGTCATGAAGGCATTCATTCTAGGAAGGTAGCCCTCGAATGCATCGATAGAAGGAAACCGATTTTAAGATTTTCCTTTAAAGATAATGAATACCATGATCAATGTAGTTACCACCTAAGAGCTGTGGTTCGGATAAGGAAGAATAATTGCATAATTTTATGAAAATATTCAGATTTTTAATCGTGTATCAGAGTACTATAAAAATAAGAAAGCTATTACATGAAAAAAATAGGAATGCTTACTAATGATATACAATCTTTATTATAATGGTACACGAAACGTATGTCATACGGACTTCCCCTTATAGTGTTATAAAACACTGTAGAATATATGTAGTAGTCATGGAAGTAAGTTAATCGTAACGCAAAGTAAATGGTAAACAAAGTAACACTAATATCAAGAAGCAAAGACAATGGATATTTAATAAAAAATGTAAGCTAATAGCTAAACTCGGCTGAAAAGCAAGAACGAATAATTACTGCAAATATATTGTTATCAGGCAGTAAACTGCCACAGTGTAGTGAATCATACCTATATCATCAGTGTAGTAAATCACTGGTAACCTATCATAAAAGCGTAATAATGCTTAAAAAGTAGAGGTATGTGGGCAGATTACTTCAATATTACGTTGCCCTCTAAGAAAGTCAACTGCAAAATTAAAGGTGATTATCTACTTTATGTTTAATCACTTAGTAGCAAGTAAATAAACAAAGTGAAAACTCTTGAGTGATTTAGAAATGTGTGGTAAAGCTGTGGAAATGTAGCGTTTGCAGCGACGTTTCAATATTTGGCTTTGCTAATGTATAAACAAGTCAAAAGAAGAAATGAATTGATCCATTTTTTGCTTTAGTATGCCTTGAATTTCTAACAAAATATTAGCTTGTTTATTATGCGCTGTTTTTGGTGTGATGATGCAACATAATCTCATGATAGTCTTGAAATGAATCTGATAATTTATTGTTCAAAGAACATTTATTGATGTAGTCTACATATATCACACATTGACTATTCCTGTATACTATCAATTATATAGATTACAGGTGTAATTGTATAAGGAAATGTACATTTCTGAAAATCTTTCAAGTTTGTGCATGAAAATGCTATTAATAATGCTATGGTTCCATGTTTACCATAGTTCTGCTGTTCTTTAAATACGCATGTCTACAATAAGATGCATGCTGTTTTTGACAGAAACACTTTTCATGAAATCACCCTTTAGGTGTCTGAATCAGATGTTGCCATTGATTTCCATCTTGATGGTTCTGGATTACGTATAAATAGCAAGGAATCTAATGAAGTCTGTACAGTGTAAAAGTTTTGTGAAGTCTTTCAACCACTAGGACTGCCAGTTTGCCATGATCTCTCAGAAAGATCAACGGCTTCATGTGTCCTTCCACAAGCCTCCTTGAGTGGTGGTTGATCATCAGGTGTTGCCCTGAGTTGGGTTTCTGTCTCAGAAACAAGTGCAAACGTTCGTCTACATTGTTGACAATCAGTCGGGCATGGCTGTAAAAACAAATGAGAAGCTTGTGCAATTGAATATGGAACATAAAGTGAAGATTCTGATAATCTAGGTACAGATCCAAACAAAGTTGAATCTTCCGTGGTACGAGAAGCTGTTGTTGTATGAGCTGCTGGAGGTACAAGAGGAGTGAAAGCTGACTTAATTGATCCTAAGGTAAGTCGAGGCACAGGTCGTGGAGCAAAAGGCACATCCTGGGTTGCAAGTGAATAGCCGTAGGTGACTGGTGGATGGGGTAGAAACATTGCATCATTTACGGAAAGGAAGTGTTCGATGGCTTTCACCAAGTCCCCATTGCACCCTTGAAGAACAAGTTCCATGACAGTTTTCTTTTGGTTAGGAAAAATGCGATGCAAAATCTCTAAAGGTGATAAACGGCCAGGCCGAAAGTCAGCTGGCAGAGCTCCTGGATTAGATTCTTCTGTAGACGGGGCCCGGACGCTGGATCTGGATTTGCATTTGCTTTGCTGCGAAGTGCAAGGCGGTGCGTTTTCAGCCTTTTCTAAAGCAGCTTTTTCTGAAAAAAAAAAAAAAAAAAAAAAAAAAAAACAGGAGGCAACATTCAGAATGCAGAATAATATTAAGCTTTTCAGGTGAGTATATTATTAATTTTAATAACATTTTTAATAAAGTTTCTGTTTTATCAGAGATTTTAGTCATTAATATTTCACAGCAAAACTTATATTGTTATTTTGTTCAATAGGTAACCTTTTGAATTTCTTAATTTTCGTATTCGTTCTTTTTCATTTTTATCTACTCGATATCATCTATCATTTTTATCTTTATAAATATGAAGTTTATAGATAAAATAAATGAACCGTGTTTCTAAATGAGTTCGGAAATAGTATTTAAGTAGCATATTTTAAGAGTTAGGTTCGAATTTATGCCGCGTGTTTGAAAGTAGCTCTGTAGCTGAATATTTTGTGCTTGCCACTTACGTTTGATTATATTGATATTCTGGATTCGACTTTGCTGTGAGCATCTGATTACGCGGTTTGAATAGTAGACAGTCGTGTAGCTAAAATTTAATTCAGTGTTATTGTACATACTATTTTGTGTTCAAGTTACTTAGCCATAAGTGGTGGTTAATATATGAGTACTGAGTGAGTGCATGTTCTGTTCTGTTTAGTTAAAATAAAAAAGTTGTTATAACCTTCGTCTGTAGCCATTTGTTCTTTCAAGGAATAGCGAGAATTCGCTTTGTCTTTTAGTAGTGTCTATAGGTTATATTCCCAAAAGGAACAGAAGACTCCATAAATTGTAGTTTAACAAGTGCCAATCATACTATCTGTATGCTTTAATTAAAATTAAAAGAATGCATCAACTGTAAGCCGCTGTTTACGGATATGTCAACTATATATATTGTTAGAATCAGAAGAGGAAAATGCTAATAATATTAAATCATTATGATTTAAAATAATTATTAACACTCTGTTTGCAAGCTATCGTAGTTTCGAAAGATTCATTGACTGATAATTGACACGTCAGGAATATCTGCTTTAAAAGATACGCCACTGCTCTCGAAACGCAAACTTACAGAACAGTAGTTCACAATCGTTGCAACTGCGGAAGTCCTGTCAAGCAAACGTCGCATTACATCGATTCGTGTATTGATTCTTAAAAGACGAACAGCGACCAGATTGTTGCAAATGCGATACTTTAGTTCAATGTATAGAGAAAGGCATTTATTAATACATGCAGTATGCAGACTGTAAAAGATTGGATTTTGATTATTTGGTATAAGAAAGCTAGGGCTATCTGCCTGTAGATTGTATAGGATAAGAGAGAGGCCATTTGATTTGATATGTGAACTCTAACAGTTTTTCAAAATTTATGAATTAATGCACTTCGCGTTTTGAACCGCTACCACAAACAATTGGGGAATTGGGAAAAGTTAAAAATTTAGTTCCAAAGTATAATTTTTGTATATTTAGACACTTTTAAGTGTTATTGTGTTTTGCAAATTCTTATATCTGTTTAATTTTTGTTTAACATTATGAAATAAAGAATAAGAGAGGAACCATTTAATTCGAGTTATGTTAACTTTTAGTATCAGTTTATGAGAATTTATGTATATGTATGTTTTAGTATCAGTTTATGAGAATTTATGAAGGAATGCATCTAATTTTCTAAGCCCTACCATAAAGAATTTTATAAGGTTAAAATTTTAAAGACTAAGTATAAATTTTACATTTTTTACTCACTTTGAGTATTACAGTGTTTTAAAAATTTACATATGTGATTAAAGCTTTTTATAGCATAATTAAATTCATACCCTGTGCAGACCAGACAAAATAAAAAAGAAGCTATTTAATTTGATACATGTTATTTTTAGTTACGAGAATGTGTGAAGCAAATAATTTACTGTTTTAAGCATAATTCTATATATTTTTAGCTTGAAATAAAAATTTATGTATCTAAATAAAAATTTTAAGATTATTCACACTTTTTGCATTACTTTGTTCTATAGATTTTAACAATTTGATTAATATATTTTTCTAATATTTACAAAATCTTTTAACAGCTCCGTTTCCTTTTTATCTAATAATTTGTATTTTGTGCTGAATTTTAAAGCTAAACATAATAATTGGGGAATGAGTTTGCAAGATATTTTTCCCTCCTTAGTGTGTGTGCTCGTAGTGTAATTGGAAGCACGTCTGTCTAGCAGTCGGAAGGTCTAGAGTTCAAATAACGAAAAGGGCAGTGCAGATGTTTCACGCTTCTTGCTTTGAAAAATCCCAATAATTCTACAAGCTCATTTTTCACAAAAATGTAATCCTTAAGATCCATATTCTCAAGTTAAGGGCTTAATATGATGGGATTGTATTCATTTTCCATATAAATTTTAACGGGAATAATAAAAATTGAAACATTAAAGACTGACAAACAATGAGAATTTAAAGGAGAGAAAAACGAGAGAATAAAAGTAAATAAATAACAAACGAATTTAAATTATTTTCTCACTGTTCTACAGTAAAATTTATGCATAGTAGAGTAATTTTTACGACAAGTCCAGGGCATATGCTCATGCACTCTGAGGTTTACGGTTAATAAAGCAGATATTAAGGCACTGGAGGCTATGGTTTTAGTACAGTAATTTTTGCCGAAAATATGTGTTATCGATTACCTCAATTTAATAGCAAAATAATATATTTATTTCATACGCTTAGTCGGTTGCTTAACACTTTATCATGTTTATAGGCTTGTTTAGTTCTTATCATGATAGATATTTTCCGAGAAGGTTCTTTTTCAAATAGGAAACAAACCGCTGAGCACATTACGTTTATTCTTTTTCGCCTCATGCGTGAGCTTTTAACTATTACGACATCTATTACGCAGAAAATCTTAAAAATAATTTTATAAATATAAATTTGCGAAATAAAGATTAAAAATTACATAATTTGCATTAAATATGTGCCTGCGATATTTTTGGTAGAAAATTAAATTTACTAATGCTTTTCATTAATCGTTCATAGAGAATGCTTGACGCAATGAATGGTTTTCACGGTTGAATAAGTTAAACAAATTGCAAAATATTTAAGTATTATTTGAAGATACATAAGGAACAGGCATTTCCCTGGCCCCTTTTCCACTGGAATAATGCCAGTTAATGAATCTTACTCATACAATGTTTGACGACTGAAATTTATGGTTGAAAAAGAACTAGTGAGTTCATGTATCGTGCACGTTAACATATATGCTGTATTCGTCTAATTATTATGACCTTTAACAAATGATCATTGAAGAAATAAGCCAAAGAACTGTTCAACTTTTGCTATACTATTTAGATCTGCATCGCTACAGAGCCATCAGGCTGTCATTGCTAACACCACATCAATAAATTCTGCATGTGCTGCGGACTCAAGAATATTGAAGCTGAATTCTGGAGTAAGATAAATTTAGTAAAAAAAAAGGCAAAAAATGGGGTAAGCAGCCTAATAAAACAATACAAATTTCTAGCTCTTTCCAGACGCTACTGGCAGAAACTCAGTGAGACGGCGGAATTCAGCCTACCAAGAGACGCTTTAAAGAACATTGCAAATTTCTCATTGGTTGAACGAACATTCTTTTGACTACAAGAGTTAAAGTGACATCTATCAGTATCGCTGGAATGTGCCTGAAAATAATTTCGATTTGATTTAGTTTCAACAAATAAGACAGAATTATGGAGGTGGTTCTGCAGACGTAGGTCACTGTATTCCAGAGCGGTTCCAGAATTTCGTGGAATTCATGTGAAGCCGTAGCTATCCACGATAAAAAAAAGAGATCTGTTGGAAAGATGAAAAATATTCTTACTAAATGCATGCCTAATACTTTTCTAATAATTGTTCTAAGAAGCTATGTTTCCTTCTAGTTTCATTTCTAAAACTGTGTCTTCTATAGTTATATTGGTTTGAATTATCTGAAATATAATTGGCAAGGCAACTTATTAAGGCTATGTATCCGAGAGCTATATGCGCAAGGTAAGGGAAACTTTTGTTGAGGACTTATTAAAGACAACTGACTTGTATTCATGCTATCCATACGGAAAACCACAAAAAGTCTCATGCAGCCAATCTCACCGGTATTCGTATTCGAGTTGTTCAAAGATCTTACAGATCACCCGCTAGTAGGCTGCAATAAAACTTGAGGCTAATTCAACGTAGTCCTTAAATTTAGCAACTTGAATCAATAAAAAAATTAGCAAATGAAGTAAACTTTCAAATAGTGTCTCAAATTGAATTTTGGCCAATTAAAGGCAGCTAAATTAGAACATCTCTGTCTATGCGGAGAAAATTCTTGAATATTTACATAAACATATTTAGAGTAAGTTATAAAAATGTATGAAAGAATTTATATATCAATAAGGAAGTAACTCTTAATATAAATGGACAAAGTATATATAAATTTGACCGGAAAACAGAATAATGATAACAAAAAAAGATATTTATAAAATCCTCATAAAGCCAAATATATTATCGACTGACATGAACAGCCAATCAAAGTATTAGGAAAATAGATATTATTAGGGTTTCGGCTAAGCCTAGATTACCAGAAAACCGTATACTTGTACAGCAATAGCAGTACCTGATTTATACGAAAATGAATGCGTAAACATAAACGAGCATTAAATCAGAAGTTGAGGACAATTACGGCTGATTGAGAGAGATTTGACAAGTTACGTAACAACGTTCAAAATTAAAGGTAAATATTAAAGTAAATGCTAACTGTGCAAGGACTGAATAATATTCCTCTGAGTGTAATTATTTACGATTATTATTTGCTACTGAATAGTAAAACCTATTGCTGTGTAGATACAGAACATGAAAATAAGGTGAACACGAGTAAATCATAAAAGGAGACATATCCGACATCGCGTGCATATTTTGGTTAAATGTAAACTTATAAAATCAAATGGAAAAGAAGCCTACCTATGTAAAATTCAAAATTAGGCAGAAAATGAACCTAATTTTGGCATAGATTTTGAATAATATGCATTTCGAAGGTGATTAAACATAAGTTCCTCTTCTACAAGAG